ATAAAAGAGAGATGAGCACTGAATAATGTATAGAATTGTTGAATCACTATATTGTACACCTGAAACTAATATAATACTGTATGTTAAATATACTGAAATTGAAAAAAATTAATTAAAAAGCAAAAAAAGTAATTGGATTTGAGAAAAGTTGACTATTTGTTAAATTTGCTTGTAGTCTTTTTTTTAAAGAAACAAAACTGCAGATACAATAGAAGTTAATCGAAGATAAACGTTACTAGATGTGTTTATCTACAAACAATATATGGTATTACTTTGTATATTTAAAAATATATACTTAATGGTTAACTTTTACATATCCTCCTGAAACTTTATTACTTACCATTAGGTTTTCAAGATTTATTCATGTTGTTACACATATTTCTAGTTCATTTTAACTGCTGTATGGTATTCTGTTTGGTTTAGTTTTAATTTGTATTAGTATTCCAATGGAACTATTAATATATATGTTTGTGAATATTTATGTTGTCTACAGCTTTGTTTGCTTTTTGCTATTATAAACAGTGATGCAGTGAACATTCTTGTACATTTCTTTGTGCCACTTTGTAAGAATGTATTTAAATTATAACATGCATTCCCCTGATTAATTTAGAGGTTGACTTCCTCTGTAATATTTTTTGGCTATTTGGATTTCCTCTTCTGTGAATTGTCATATTTGCCTCTTTTCCTAATGGTTTTAAAAATTGATTTGTAGGAATTCTTTGTCTATTTTGGATACCAAGCCATTGTGAGTTTTGTGTATTGCTAGAATCTTTCAATTATTCAGGCAGTCTTTTCCTGGTCCCTCCCTGTTCCTGGTCTTTCAGTTTACTCCAGTTCAGTCAGCTTCTATTTTTATTCCTAGGCTCCCTTGTTTTATTCTAACCTACACATTATTGAGTTATGTTTCCAAGGTGGGGAATCCCTTCAATTGTCCATTAGATGAACTGCTTTGTCATTTATGGTTTATTTTTGGTTCTGTAAGGCAGGCAGCCTAGAATAGGGGTTAAGAATGGAGGCGATAGAGTCTTAACTGCTTGCTTTTGAATCTTGGCTCAGCCACATTACTTACTGTGTGTGACCACGGTAAGTTACTTAACCCTCTTGTACTTGTCTTTATAATCTGTAAAACTCATGAGGGTAGAACTGTTATGATCCCCATTTTATATTTGATGAAACTCAGGCTCAGAGAGATTAGATTAGAAACATGAGTAAGTAGAAGAAACATGTGGGCCTTTTTATCTTTTAATTTTACACTTTTTTTTTTTAAAAGATTTTATTTATTTATTCAACAGAGAGAGACACAGCGAGAGAGGGGACACAAGCAGGGGGAGTGGGAGAGGGAGAAGCAGGCTTCCTGCCGAGCAGGGAGCCCGATGCGGGACTCGATCCCAGAACCCTGGGATCATGACCTGAGCTGAAGGCAGACACTTAAGGACTGAGCCACCCAGGCACCCTAATTTTACACTTTTGATAGAGACATGGGTATAGAAAATATTTCTGTAATATAGGATACACTGTAGCAAAAGCCATGATAGGTCCCTGACTTGTGGCTTCAGTGTTAGGGAAAAACAGTAAGAGTAGAACTATGGAGAACTAAAGTACCCACTGCCTGTATAAATCTATTAATAGGTTAAAAAATTCCTTGTGTCCTTATTCATTAAAATAAAACAACAAAAACCCACACCTTTATTTTTATAACTTTAACTTAAAAGAGATACAGAATTTTTCTTAAGATTTTATTTATTTATTTTTTTTTAAAGATTTTTATTTATTTATTTGACAGAGAGAGAGATAGCGAGAGCAGGAACACAAGCAGGGGGAGTGGGAGAGGGAGAAGCAGGCTTCCTGCCGAGCAAGGAGCCCGACTTGGGACTCGATCCCAGGACCCTGGGATCATGACCTGAGCTGAAGGCAGACGCTTAACGACTGAGCCACCCAGGCGCCCCCTTAAGATTTTATTTTTAAGTAATCTCTACACCCAACATGGGGCCTGAACTCACAACCCTGAAATCAAGAGTTGCATGCTCCACTGACTAAACCAGCCAGGCACCCCAAGATACAGAATTTAGATAACCATCCCAGGTCAGAGAAGTCATAGTTGAAATAGGCAAATCATAAACACAGAACACTGGACTACACTTAAGGGTTCAGCTTGGTAGACAATGAAGGGGGAGGAGAACATAGAACTTGATTTTGACCTACATGAAAGAAAGAAGAAACTAAAGAAGCAAAGGCAACTTCTTTCTAGGGGAAGGAGAATAAGTTTGACTTAGCCGCTCTATCTTCTTTGATTTTTTTTATTATTATAAAAGGAAATATGTTTATGGCAAGTACTATAGGAAGGTATAAAGTAAAAATTAAAATATAAAAGTTTCCCAGTAGTATAAACCCAAAAGAATTAAAAGCAGGGACTTCAACAGATACTTGTACGCCCATGTTGTTAGCAACATTATTCACAATAGCCCAAAGGTGGAAACAACCCAGATATCCATCAGTTGATAAATGGATAAACAAATATGGTGTGTGTGTATAGTGGAATATTATTTAGCCTCAAGAAAGAATGGAATTCTGATAACATGCTACAATATGGATGATCTTTGAAGATATTATGCGAAGTGAATAAAAAAGACAACTATTGTGTGGTTCCACTTATATGAGTTACCTAGAACAGTTAAATTCATGTAGGCAGAAAGTAGAGTGGTGGTTACTGGGGATGGGAGAAGTTGTTGTTTATTGGGTATGGAGGTTCAGTTGGGATGATGTAAAGATTCTGGGGATGGATGGTGGTGATGGTTGCACAACAGTGCAAATATACTGAATGCCACTGAATTGTATACTTAAAAATGGTTAGAATGGGGCACCTGGGTGGCACAGATGGTTAAGCGTCTGCCTTCGGCTCAGGTCATGATCCCAGGGTCCTGGGATCGAGTCCCGTATCGGGCTCCCTGCTCCTTGGGAGCCTGCTTCTCCCTCTGCTTCTCTCTCTCTCTTTCTGTCTCTCATGAATAAATAAATAAAATCTTTAAAAAAAAAAAAAAGGTTAGAATGGTAACTTTCATGTTATATGTATTTTACCACAGTAAAAAAAGTTTCCCAACTCTAACCTGGAGGTGGTGTCCACTATAAACAGTTTCTTTTATAACCATATAGATAGGCAAATGTAAGCGTAGATATGCAAATATGAACATGTTAATTCAAAATCTACTCTTTGGGGGCACTCATTTAGGTGCTGGGGACTCCGCAGTGTACAAAATTGACAAGGTTCCTTTGGTCATGGAGCTTTTTAAAATTTTGTTTTACACAAAATGGATTTTGGTACACATATTGTTTTACACCTTACATTTCCCCTTAACAAAGACCTTTGGACATCTTTCCAAGTTAGTTCTTAGAGATTTACTGATTTCATGGCTGCATGGTATGCCCTCATATGGATGTGCTATAATTTGTGGCTGTTGTATGGAATGGACAAGGGGAAGAAGAGGTATAGAGATTGCTGTGGTTTGCTGCTCGTGTTTGCCCCTTTTTTTTTTTTTTTTTAAGGATTTTATTTATTAGAGAGAGAGGGAACACAAGCAGGGGGAGTGGGAGAGGGAGAAGCAGGCTTCCCGTCGAGCAGGGAGCCTGATGTGGGGCTCGATCCCAGGACCCTGGGATCATGACCTGAGCCAAAGGCAGATGCTTAACAACTGAGCCACCCAGGCACCCCTTTGCCCCTTTTGTAACTTAAAATTTTATTAGAATAATATAAAAAATCAGTGTTATAAAAAAATCAGTGCCAAATATATCAAATAAAAGTTCTTTCCCCCTCTTTTATTTTTAGTTTTATTTTTTAAGATTTTATTTATTTATTTGAGAGAGAGAGAATGAGAGACAGATAGCAAGAGAGGGAAGAGGGTCAGAGGGAGAAGCAGACCCCCAGCTGAGCAGGGAGCCCGATGCGGGACTCCAGGATCATGACCTGAGGCGAAGGCAGTCGCTTAACCAACTGAGCCACCCAGGCGCCCTCCCCCTCTTTTAATCCTATTCCCTGAAAATAGTAACCGTTGTTAATCATTGTTAACATTAAAAGTTATTCATCCTTCCAGGCATTTTTAGTGCAACTGCAAATATAAAAAATACATAGAATATACATATTCTCATTCTTTAGGAGCTGGCTCATGCAGTATAATACCATTAGATATATGTAGGTATATACAGTCTGCTCATTTAATTCAGACTGTTGTGAGTTATGCAGAGGAAAGAGCTGGACTGGGCTTCAGGAGAGCAAGGCCCTGTCTAGATGGTGCTGTGGTAGGCAGTTCCTTAGTTGTCATTTACATGCTGTTCCCTAGTCAATGAGATCACCTCAAGGAGAGAAATCTAGTGTGCTAGAAATATTACTATAGAGTTCTTTGGTTGCAAGCATTAAAAACTCAACTCAGCTTCTGTTAGACAAAAAATGGTGGTGGGGGGCATTATAGAAGGATTTTAGGTAGCAAGCAAAGAAATATTTATTTATTTAAAAAAATTTTTTTTGAGATTTTATTTATTTATTTGACAGAGAGAGAGAGAGCACAAGCAGGGGGAGCAGCAGAGGGAGAAAGAAGCAGGCTTTCTGCTGAGCAGGGAGCCCAATGCAGGGCTTAATCCCAGGACCCTGAGCCTAAGGCAGCTGCTCAACGGACTGAGCCACCCAGGCAGCACAAGTGAAGAAATATTTAAACAACGGAGTCTCTGGAAAGTCAGGAATAGGGGGGCTTTGAGGGTTTCAATATCGGTGTTTATCCCTTTCCATTTCTGTATGTCTGTTCAAGTTTTCCTGGGAAAAAGTGAGTGGCTTAGAGACCATGTGTCTACTGATGGTTAAAGGGGGTAGAGTCCTGGGTTTATGTGCCCCATCAGAATCGTACGGTGTTGGGGAGTTGCAGTTTTGGAAAGGATGGGATTCAAGGCTGGCAAAACTGAGTGTCGGCCTTGAAGTGTCAGCCATCTTAACCCTAGATTCTTACTCCCCTCTCAAGGAGGAGATGACCGCCGGGTTCTGCTATGGCACATGGAACAAGCTATCCACTCCAGAGTCAAGCCCATACAGCTGAAAGGAGAGCACCATTCCAACATTTTTTGCCTGGCTTTCAACAGTGGGAACACCAAAGTATTCTCTGGAGGTGAGAAGAAGGGAGATTTCTACCTTGGGCAATTCACTGTGGCTGAGATTTTAGATAAAGGAGTGCTAAAATAACTCCTTGTTTTTCTTCCTTTATTTCACTGAGCTGTAGAATTACTGGTTTCCCATAGCTTGTCTTTTCTGCATTACAGCAGAAATACGAACAGGTATATGAGAGCAATTTCTCCCTCCCTCCCTCCTTCCTTCTGTCCTTCCTCCTCTCCTTCCTCTGTCCTTCCTCCCCTCCTTCCTTTTGTTCTTTTGATCCTTCACTCTCATTCTTTTTCGATAGAAAACTTTTTACATTGCAATCTGGCATGCAGAAACACACACATACTTAAAATAGTACTTAACCTTACTATGTGTGGTACATTCTGGTTTTTAAAAAATTCTATTTCATTTTTAAAGATCTTAAAGGTTGTGACTCAAATTGATGTCCTGATCCATGGATGGCTCCTGTTTGAAAAACGTTGTGTTAGGGTACAATTGGAATGGCTTGTGCTCAAGCCAGCCTCTTGGTGATGTCTTCTGTCTATCAGCCAGACTCCTTTCTGACCACCACATTTCTAGCCCTGACCTCTCTTCTGCACTGCAGATTTTCCCAGGGAATATCTACCTGTGTGTTCTAAAAGCAATTTAAGTGCAGCAGATCTAAAACCAAAATTATTAGTCTTTCTCCCCTGCACAAATATTTCCTCTTGTTCCCTGGATTCCTTTTCTCAGTTATTATCAGCATTCACCTAATGATTAAGCTATTAGGTTTAACTTTAAGAAACTGCTAATATTGAAGCACTTTTAACTATAAAAATGACAGTTCCACATAGTCAGCCTAATAGAAATCTTGAAGTCATCCTCAAACCTTCCTTTCTTTCATTTACCTATCTTGTCACTCACCATCTAGACTTGAAAGCCTCTCACATTCATCCTTTAGTTTCTGCGCTCTTTCTATACCCACTGCCCTGGTTCAGGTTCTTATCTTTTATCTGGACTGTTGCAGTGGCCTTTGTGATTTCTGCAACCAGTCTCTAACCCTCCTTCTTATTTATCACAAGTTTTCTTTTATTTATTTATTTATTTATTTATTTATTTATTTATTTGAGAGAGAGAGAGAGAGAATGAGAGAGAGAGAGCATGAGGGGGGGAGGGTCAGAGGGAGAAGCAGACTCCCCGCCGAGCCTGATGTGGGACTCGATCCCGGGACTCTAGGATCATGACCTGAGCCGAAGGCAGTTGCTTAACCAACTGAGCCACCCGGGTGCCCCACAAGTTTTCTTTTAAAAATAAAGTTTTACCGTGTGAACCTCTGACCCCACAGTGTCCACAGGATAAAGTGTAAACTTCTGTCTACCTCTCTAGCCTCATCCCCCTCCCCAGCATTTTGTACTCTAGCCCACTAAACCACTTGCCATCTTAGGTGCCCTTGTATCATTTGCTTTTGCTGTTCCTTCATGGATCATGATTAATTGTCCAGTCCCCACCAGTTCCCCTAAGTCTTCCATTGGTAAGAGTTTTGAGTTATTGGAGTTTTTGTTCAGATGTCTTCTTCCCCATAAAAACATTCTCCTTTTCTGCCATGTACTTTCAACCTGCTCCTGAAGGAAACAGTTGCTCCTTTATCTGTGTGCCCATTATAGAGCATTTCACTACAACAAGTTAACCCATTTTGTCATTATTAGTTGTTTGTGTAGATGAACTGGGAGTTCCTCAAGGGTCGGGCAGAATCTTCCTCCTCTTCTAGTATCCCTAGCACCTCAGCTGTGCCTGTTACCTAGAAGGCATTAGTATGGGTTTGATTTACTTGTTATGCACCCACAATAGAGTTGATAGCCAGGGATTTAAGATGTCCCGGGCCACATCTCTACTGCTACTATTACTTTCTATTTAAGTGACTGTTGGTTGTGCTTTCAGTGTAGAGTGGGAATTTTTTTACTTTTGTCTTTTCATATTCAGGTTTTTATGTTTCGTTATATAAACCCTTTGAAAGCAGGATTACACATATTGTGAATGTATTATTTTTAGATTCTTTGATGGAATAAAGAAAAATGCAAGAGAAAAAGTTTCCCATCACTTATAACCACAAAGTCATCAGATTTTAATGCTATGAGATGATAAGGATATGAGTAATAGCAAACATTTATTGGGGACTTACTAAGTGCTCAGCCCTATTCTGAATGGTTTTACAAATGTACTCGTATCTCTGCAATGACCCTACAAAGTAGGTACAATTATCCCTATTTTATAGTTAAAAAAACAGAGGCATAGATTATCTGTATTCTAAGTCTCACAGTTGAGTGTTTTGCTTAAAAAAAAAAAAAAAAGCTAGCTTGGATGAATGATTTAATTTGCCCATGATCATTTACTCTTTTTATTCTCTTTCTTTCTTTCTTTCTTTGAGAGAGAGAGAGAAACAGCATGAGAGGGGATAGGGTCAGAAGGAGAAGCAGGCTCCCCGCTGAGCCGGGAGCCCGATGTGGGACTCGATCCCGGGACTCTAGGATCATGACCTGAGCCGAAGGCAGTCACTTAACCAACTGAGCCACCCAGGCGCCCTTTATTCTTTTTCTTTTTCTTTTTTTTTTTTTTTAATTTTTTTTTTTTTTTTTTTAATGAGAGAGAGAGAGAGCACATGAGAGGGGGGAGGGTCAGAGGGAGAAGCAGACTCCCCGCCGAGCAGGGAGCTCAATGCGATGCGGGACTCGATCCCGGGACTCCAGGATCATGACCTGAGCCAAAGGCAGTCACTTAACCGACTGAGCCACCCAGGCGCCCCTATTCTTTTTCTTAATGGCCACAGTTTTTTGTTGTTGTTTTTATATTATATATATATATATATATATATATATATATATATATTCTGTCGAATAATTCATTTTGGAAACATACCTAGTTGCTACTAGGCTTTCAAAAATTCTTTATATCCTTCTGAAGTTATTTTTATAAAACTTTTCTTCTAATTCTAATTAATACTCCTAATTTATATTAACACTGATTTTGCTCATATGCTTTCTGAAAACTTTAAGATTTCATGTGATATGGGCAGGTAGCACTTGGCAGGAATTATCAAATGTCTACTTTTCTCCCTTACAGGAAATGACGAGCAAGTTATCCTCCATGATGTCGAAAGGTAAATAGATTGTTGGTATGTGAAGGTGACTGACTCTGGTTTTCATATGAAGAAAGGCAAATATCTCTTTAGACCAAAGTAGTCGTTTTTTTGAAGGAAATAACATGAAGCCAGCTGTCCTTTTCTGAAACAGATTTCTGTAATAATTTTGAAATAAAATTTTGATTAAAAAAAAAAGAAAAGGATTTGTGAAGGTGGAATGAACTTACACACTTTTTAGGTGAAAATTTAAAGGGAGAGGTTGGAAGAGAAGGAAACAACGACATAATAATAACTAATCTTTATGTGCCAGGTACTATTCTAAGTGCTTTGCATGTGTTCATCAGTTTCACCCTCACAATGATTTTATGAAGCAGTACTATTCTGGTCTCATTGTGGATGAGGAAGCTGAGGTGTTAGGGATGTTAGGTAACTTAAGGTCAGGTGGTGCTGGGATCTGAACATGGCCACCTGGTTCCAGAGCCATGCTCTTGCTCACATACCAGGCAGCCACATCGACCCTCTTCTTCCCCTGCTGATATCAGATCTGGTTACTTTAAAGTGCTCCCTTATTTTTGGAAATCAGGCACCACCCCCAAATCTACAGAAGCAGATACATTCTGCAGGAAGTGAAAACACTAAACTCATCTATCAAGTCACTTTCAGCTGTGCTCATTTAGTGCAAAAAAACAAACTCACCATGAAATCTATAAAAAGTTTTTCTAATAGAATTTTTTTTTACCTGAAAGTTGAGTACCTACTTTTTAAGGAAATACAATATCCTTTGGGTTTCACTTGATTGACTTTGCACTAGAAATGAGGGAGAGTCCCACGTGAGGAACTCTAGGGCTGGGACTCTGCACTCTTTGTGTGCATGTGTGTGCCTGTGTGCCTCTCTCTGCTTTCTGTCTCTCAGCAGCGAGACCTTGGATGTGTTTGCTCACGAAGATGCAGTATATGGCTTGTCGGTGAGCCCAGTGAATGACAACATTTTTGCCAGCTCCTCAGATGATGGCCGGGTTCTCATCTGGGACATCCGGGAGTCTCCCCATGGAGGTAGGGTCAAAGGGCTGTTGGACTGTGTTGGAGAGTTTGATGTCAGGCTCATTGCAGAGGCAGTTAATGACCTGGGTGACTAATGTGAGTGGGAGAGATGTAAAGGGAGAGGCAACTCTCATGGTGGGGCACAGATGTGTGTCTGTAGACGTCCCATCCTATGCCTAAGCCAGAAGTGAGGCACCTTTCTCAGGCCTTCTCTAGCCGCTTGTGAGCCTCCACAAACTCTTGGACCTGTCGGAAACCCCACCGTACCATGGTGTTTAGCGGCCCCAAGGAATAGAAGATGCAGTACTTCATTGTAGAGGGTAGCTCCCAGGAGCCAGCTCTGTATGGTGCTGACACGCACGGGGGGTGTTCTGTGCTCGTGTCCTAATTTTAGGTATGTGTATAGAAACGGAAAATGATGGCAGATACGCTTTGTTTAAGAGGGATTGTCCAGGTGAGTTCCTCCTCCAGATGTGTTCTTTGGGCTTCTGAAGTGTAAAATGAAGAGTTGTTCTGTTGAATTTCTCTGAAGTTTTTCAGGAAATGCATCTTTTCAGCTCGTTTCCTGAATAGAGCATTTATTCTATAACTCTGCCTGTGTTCAAAGACTTTTTCCTCCAACATTACCCTCAGTGCCTCCCTGGCCCCCACCTCTGGTGCAGCTTTGTCATGATCATACCCGTGTACACAGAATTACTTTCCTGCCTGTCTTGTCTGACAGGATCTGGATCTTTTTATTATTCTGTATTCAGAGCATTTAACGTGCTGGCCTGTGCCTCATCATAGAGACTCAGGCTATAAGAAAAGCTTGTTCTTGGGGTTAGGCAGATAAGGTAACTGCAAGGAGCAGCTGTGGTTGAGTCACCATGTGCTGGGGAGGTGAGAGCCTCCTCTGTCTGGACTGCCTAGAGGCCTGTGCAGTGTCCCGCGTGGAAATCCTAGACTGGGGAGTGTGCTTTCTGTCTGTTGCTTGTAAACACTTTGCACAAGAGTATGTCCTTCTGGGTAGCAGAGTGATTCCTTCCTTGCCTGGAGCCTGCTAACATAGGCAAAGGGATGCAGGGTTTCTAAGTGAAGTTGATTGGGAGCTGGCTGGATGTAAGAGTTCAAGTGTTAGGTGCCTATTTTTTTTTTTCTTTTTTTCTTTTTGTAATATTCCAGTACGGGGAATGAAATGATAAAATTCTAGACTGAGGCTATTTTCTCTTCAGTTTAGGGAGCAATTTAGAGACAAGGGAAGACTGTGCTATTGTTTTTCCTCGCCTTCAATTTTCTCATTGTTTTGCTTTGTCTTCATTAAATCTTTGTGTAATTGTAAAACTTTTAATTTCTAAAACTAATAAATTTGGATGCAGGTACATTAATCCTACCAGTAATTGTGAATTTTTTCAGCTCATGTGGAATTCAATCTTACTTACTGTAAAACAGCTTACCTTCTTAGTTCCTGTGACCATTTCCGTTTTGTCACAGGATCTGAAGAGGTAGAATACTCAGTGTTTCTGAGTATTATAGCTTCCAGTTTGCTCATATGTGTTAGAGTTGCTGTTTTCAGACTTGGTGTGTACAGAGTGTGTGCTAGTCTTTGTGAGCAGGGTTGGCTACTGGGATGATGCACTGCTTTGGGGCTCCAGCTACTAGGGCCGGTTTCTACAGGGTCACATTCCTGCTTTGCCTGCCTCTGGCCCAGAGGCGCTGAATGAGCTATGGGGCTGATTGTCATTTCTCTATTCACAGAGCCCTTCTGCCTGGCAAACTATCCATCAGCTTTTCACAGTGTCATGTTTAACCCTGTGGAGCCCAGGTTATTGGCCACAGCCAATTCAAAGGAAGGAGTGGGACTCTGGGATATTCGAAAACCTCAGAGGTGAGCCCCCTTTAATTCATATGGTGTTAAAACTTGCCCTTGCCTCAACTCTCAGGTAATGTGATCAGCCAGCAAGGGTTGTGAGAACCTGTTTGGCCATTGCTCTCAGTTGGCCATCTCCTAACATTTATCGGTGCCTGTGAAGCCAGGGGAGCCCTGTCCCCAAGAGACAGGCAGTGTGAAAAATCCACACTCCTTGCTGAGGGAGTCATAAATTGTAATCTGACTCTAGACAAGTCAATTCTAGGCAAATAGATGAGAGCCTCCCTTCAGTACTGCCTTCTATCTTTAGGTCCAGGGTTCCCCAGATGCCTGGGAGCTCTTGCAGGGGGGGATGGAGGAGATGGAGGGGGAGAATTTGTCAAACTATGGCCACTGAACCATTGATTCTTAACTCCAGGCAGGAGGGGATTTCTACGTGGCTTCAGGAGAACTGGGAATCCCCCAGATTGTGTGGAAATTATATTATGTACCCATCTAAGTGCATTTTTCTATGAAGGGAGTTTATTTGCTTTTTTCAGTTTCTCAAAGAGACCAGTGGCTAAGACAATAAAAGTTAAGAGCCACTGCACTATAGTGTTAGGGACCTAACATGTTTTCCCTTCTGTTTGCATTATTAAAAGAGTACGCTGAGGACAATCTTTGATGGTACAAGTCACTAATGGGAGAATTTCAGGCATCATTAAGGGAAGTGTGTGGATGGGGGCGAGTAGGAGGCTTTTTCATGTTCTCTAAATACCATGGTGGGGGGACAACTTTTTATGGCACCTGTACTTAAAGCTAGCTTTGCTTTATAAAAGACTTACATGCATTGTCGGCTGTTCTGGAAATTCTGCATGGAGGTAACTTCCTACTTTGTAAAGCAATATTGCAGAAGTATATCATAGAAAGTAAGCGAGGTTATGATTTATTTCATGGGCCTCAGATGAAAGGGGCAATTAGGTACAGAGGCTATCTTCCTTGGTGATTTTTAGTTCTAGCTAATTCTCTCCATGGGGCTGTCAGAGGGATCTAGAACTATTGCAGCAGATCTGTATAGGCCAGAGGGGTGCTCCTGTTGTTGAGCAGGGCTCCCTGAGGCTCTGTAGGGCAGCAGAGATTTCTCCTGCCCTTTGGTGCATATACACCCAGCCCTTGCTTCTCCACCCTACTGAAATGTATACAGTGGCAGGATCCCTATTGTGCCTTTGCACTGTGTGCTTGGGGAGGCTCATTCCCTGCTTGTGTTTCCCAGTGTTCGGCTGTAACATTCTCTGCCACTCGAGACTCTTTAAGAACAGCTGTTCTGCCTCATTCATTTTACAAGGGGCAGGAACAGGACTAACTATGCCAGTCTTCTCCCAACCTACTACCTCCCATACTTAAAATTGTAATGAATAGCTAGTGACTGGAGTGGGGCCCTGAGCTATTATTCATTTCCAATGGAAAGCTTGAGTAGTGCATACTGTCAGCAGTGTCTTGAGAGTAGAGGAGAGGGTGAGTGTTTTAATTCTCCTAATTTCCCCCCAGCGGTTTCCTACTGTGTGTTGTATTTGGACTTTCCTTCTCTTTCTACTTATCTCCTCACTGAACATGACTTCTTTAAAAAAAAAAAAAAACCTAAGTGAGATTATTATTTTATTTTTATTTATTTATTTATTTATTTATTTTTAAAGATTTTATTTATTTGACAGGGAGAGACATAGTGAGAGAGGGAACACAAGCAGGGGGAGCGGGAGAGGGAGAAGCAGGCTTCCCGCCGAGCAGGGAGCCCGATGCGGGGCTCGATCCCAGGACCCTGAGACCATGACCTGAGCTGAAGGGAGACGTTTAATGACTGAGCCACCCAGGCGCCCTATTGTTTTATTTTTAAAGTAACATTTATTAGATTTAAGGTTTATTTTATTTTATTTTTTTATTATATTAGTCACCATACAGTACATCATTAGTTTTTGATGTAGTGTTCTGTGATTCATTGTTTGCGTATAACACCCAGTGCTCCATGCAGATTTAAGGTTTATATCCAGAGAAGTATAACGAAACAAACCAAAAAAAAAAAAGAAAAAAGAAAAAAAATCTCATCTCCAGATTATATCTGTTACTTACATTTTGTACATGTTTGTACATCAGTATGGTTCTTATTCTTGGTCTCTAGTCACTCTCCAAAGGTAACTATAATGAACAGTTTCTTATGTATTAGAACATAATTTAATACACATACTAGCATGTATATCTATCCTTTAAAAACTTTAGGCTAAAGGAACCATGTATTAATACCCACCGTTTTCAACTACTTTTTTCAATTAATATGTATTGGAGCTTTATTCCTATCAATACTTACAGATCTAGCATGTTCTTTTTCTTTTTTTTAAGATTTCATTTTTGAGTAATCTCTTCACCCAACATGGGGCTTGAACTCACAACCCTGAGATCAAGAGTCATATGCCCCACTGACTGAGCCAGCCAGGTGCCCCCTCTAGCACATTCTTTTAATGGCTACATGATACTCCATTTATATGGTGTATCCAATAGCCAGGACTTCTTGTTTCCAGTGGGCGTTATAAACAGTGCTATATTGAGCTTGGTTGCATAGCACCTGGCCTACCTTTGCAAAAATATCTGTAGGAAATTGCTGCATCAAAGGGTGTATGCTTTTATATATATATATTTTTTAAAGATTTTATTTATTTATTTGCGAGAGAGAGAATGAGAGACAGAGAGCACAAGAGGGAAGAGGGCAGAGGGAGAAGCAGACCCCCTGCTGAGCAGGGAGCCCGATGCGGCACTTGATCCCGGGACTCCAGGACCATGACCTGAGCCGAAGGCAGTCGCTTAACCAACTGAGCCACCCAGGCGCCCCTATGCTTTTATATTTTTGATAAAAACTGTCACATTGTCTTGCCACCACAAAAGGCTACACTGATTTACAAACCTACCAACTATGCATGAGACTACACATTTGTCCAGACCCTTGTCTATACTTATACTGTCTTGTGGGGGGAAATGTTACCTTCCTGTTTTGATTATGTCTTTAATTATGAGTGAGGTTATATGGTTTCTTTGGTAACCTGTAGTTTTCAAAGCCCATATGGGAGAAAAGTCATCTAATAAGGTTAATTGATAATCTTGACTGATTCCTTTCTTGGACTAAAAGGAGGAGCATAGTGGACTAGGATGTTTTTACCTGTTTCTTTCAACTCTTCTAAGGTTCTTTGTGGTTCTATGGGAGTGAAGCAGACAAGGGGCATGAAATATTCTTGGGGTCCTATTCTTCATCTGCTGGTATTTTGGGATTAAATTACAGATATTTTCTGTTTGAATTCTCTCATTATAAATTCGTGTGGGAGAGGAAGAGGGGGCCCTTTGTCTTTTCCATGCAGGATTGATTATGCTGAGTTGCAATAGGTGATTTGTCTCCTGAAAACAGCTACCTAGAAACCTCAATCTAGATCTTGGGGCACTTCTGAATCCCCTGGGAGGATAACCCTGGAACAAGGTAGATCTGTTCCAAGGGATACTTAAAGTCTACAGAAATATTTTAGGAAATTTGAGAACCCCTTGAAATTGCAGGTAAAATTGTGTGTTTGTGTATTTGACTGAGCACACATGTCAGTTTTTTCTAGGGATTGGGAGAGAGTTTTTACTAGGTTCTCATAGATACCTTTGGCCCCCAAGAGGAAAAAGTTGTTCAGTGTACTAACGATTCTAGATTTAGAACCTACTGTGGTACCTTAGCAGGCTTATAAGCAATTTTCAGCCTGTAATAGCTTGGGCATATGAGTGAATTCTGGGCCTACTCAGGAGGCCTACTGGTGTCCTAGAAACAAATATAATCGTCATAGATCAATAAGGGGGCCTCACACGGAGCACATTTTTCTTCCTGGCTTAACCTATGGATTGTTCCATGCTGAAATGGTTTCTTGAGCCTACCCCAAGCCTAAGCTGTACCTCTCTACTTTAGGTTGGTAGTCTGTAGGAGTGTGAGTGGGTCATGTGTGCCCCACTCCTTCCCTGAAATAAGTTGATTAGAGGGCTGGCTGGTAGAATAAAATGTCAGCTCTAGAGGGGACTTTAGTTATCATCTGATCTGACTTCCTCATTGTACAGCTGAAGAAGAAACCATCCCAGTAAGGTAAGGGGAGGCAGAAGAGCTTGGTGGTTTAGAGCGCAGGATCTAAAGCCATCATACTGGCTACACACATCCAGGTAGTATACCTTAATAGCCGTGTGATCTTGAGTAAGTCACTTCACCTCTCAGTGCCTCATGATAATAAATAATAGCTAACATTTATTAAGCATTACTTGCAAGGGATAATGACAATTTTATGAACAGTTCCTTATTTGGTCCTTATGACAGCCCTGTGAAGTAGGTTCTATTGTTTTTATTTTAATGATAAGGATATCAACGCACAGAGAGTTGAAATAGCTTGTGTGTGTATGAGTGTATCATGTCCACCCCCTCTTTTTTTTTTTTCTAAAGATTTTATTTATTTATTCATGAGAGACAGAGAGAGAGAGAGAGAGGCAGAGGGAGAAGCAGGCTCCCAAGGAGCAGAGAGCCCGATGCGGGACTTGATCCCAGGACCCTGGGACCATGACCCGAGCCGAAGGCAGACGCTTAACCATCTGAGCCACCCAGGCGTCCCACCCCCTCTTTTAAAGCACATCAGGCCCCTATACATTCTAGTTCTCTTTCATTTGTGCTTCCTTGCAATAGAACTTTGTCAGAATTCCTCCATTTTTTCCATTACAGATATGTCCAACTCTGAAGTCTGAGTCCTTTAGACATCTGCCTCTGAAAGTTAAACCCCTTTTCACTGTCTCCTGGTCCAGCCCCTGTCTACATGCTGGCCTTCCAAGTTTCTTGCTCTTCTAATCCTGGAAACCTGCACATAACTATTTATTTTGCTCTAAAGCTTTAGAGCCGAGGTTGTAAACTAGCTGCCCATAGGTCAAATTCAACCCACAGAGACATTTTGCTTGGCCTACATCATTAATAGTGTTTGGGAAATTACACAGAA